TTTCTTTCCTCAGATTTATTTTTGGGTACATTGGTGCTTGCCTGCCTGCATATCTGTGTGAGGGTACCATATCTCCTGGAGCTGGAGTTACAGACAGTTGCAAGCTGCCATGTGGGTGCTGGGCACTGAACCCCGGGTCCTCTAGAAGAGGAGTCAGTGCTCTTAACCACTGAGCCATCTCCCCAGCTCCCAAACTGAAACTTCGCTCAGCAGCTATCTAAAGATGATATTTGCAAATGAAATTTGATGGCTTCTTCAAGGAGCCATGCTTCCTAGCCTGGGCATCCATTGGCTGCTGGTGTCCTTCATGGGTTTTCTGAGTGTGAGGGGGAAAATGCTTTCCCTCTTTATTCCTGTCACACCCATGTGATGTAACCAGGAATACAGGAAATGGGAGTCACAAAATATACTATGTGCCCTTCTAGATCAGTGGTTCTCAACCTGTGGATCTTGACCCATTTAGGGTCACATATCAGATTTTTACATTGCAATTCACAACAGTAGCAACATTAGAGTTATGAAGTAACAAAAAAGTTAGTTTTGTAGTTGGACATCACCACAACATGAAGAACTTTACTAAAGGGTTTCAGCATTAGGAAGGTTAGAGTACTGCAGTTCTAGATGTAAATGTTACATAAATGTCATTTATTATTTAAATAATAATTTAAAATAATTTCAGATGGGTTTAGATCTGGATAAAGTAGTGCCCTGGAGGATAATTGTTTTTTCCCAGAATTCAGAACACTCAGTCATTCACGGGTACTCTGCTTCTTTCAACAAACTGTATTTGTCCCGTTTTTCTTCTCACTCTGCCTCTTTGGTATTTCTATTAGTCTTTCTCTTGGGGGGTTGTTCCTGGTTTCCTCAGCTATGAAACCCATACTATCTACTTCCCAGGGGTGTTATTTATTCATCAGCCTCTCCTTCCCTCTCCACTTACTGCCTTGTTTTCCTCCTTCCTACATTCATCTTTCCTCCTTCCCCTTTTTCCATCATTTCTTTCCCTTCCCTTCCTTCCTCCCTGCTTCCTTCCCTCCCTCTCTCCCCCTTCCTCCCTCTCTCCCTTCCTCCCTTCCCCCTTCTTCCCTCTCTCCCCTCCTCCTTCCTTTCCTTCCTCCCTGCTTCCTTCCTTCCCTGCTTGATTCCCTCCCTCCCTCCCTCCCTCTCTCCCTTCCTTTCTTTGACAGGGTCACACACAACTCACTCTGTAGCAGAGAATAGCCTTGAACTTCCAATGAATTCCTTGAACACTGTCTTCTGAGTGCTGGAGTTACAGTCACGAGCCAACACTACACCTGACCTTCCATCCAATTTTCAACCAGTATTTCCTGGACTTCTCCTATGTCCCAGATGTTACAGCCATGAAAATCTCCAAATCTTCCCATGGAGCTCACACATGTGTTAGAGTTGCAGTACCCGCATACAGAGCAGCATGACAATGCCCAGTGCACCAAGTGCACGTCAACAGTGCTGTCGGGATCAACACCTGTGGGCTCTCCAGCTGCTGGGTCGTTGGAAGTCTGTGACAGCCTCAGTGTTTATATTAGTTAGGCTTCCGTTGTGCTCCATTGGAAATGTTGGTTGGACTTTAAACTACAAAGACAGAAGTTTAGTTGAGGTGAACAGAAGAGCCATCAAGCTGACCGTGGTGAGCACAAGTTGACCCTAGGGTTTCTGTCTCTTGAACTAGTAAGATGTGAGCTTCTCTTGGTCCTACTGGGTGTCAGTAGGTAAGTGAGTTAAAGGGTGAGGCAAGAGCCGCTCCCAGGTCCAAACCTTAAGGAGGCACTTACTCAAAAGGCAAGGTCAGCACTAAAGATCAAGAGCCTCCTTAAATCTCACACCTTGGTCTCTGGTTTTCCTCAACCTAGCTGAAGGCAACTCATGAAAAGTCTGAATCTAAAGAACTTTTGTTGTCAGATGCAGTTCAAGCATGGAGGCAGGAGAAGCCCAAGTTCAAGTCTAGCCAGCAATATAAAATAAAAAGAGGGAAGGAGGGAGGAGCCAGAGGGAGGGGGGAAAGAGGGAATGAGGGAGAGGGTGTGGTGAGGGACAGGCAAGCTGCTGGATGAGGGGCTCAAGCTAACTTTGGCGAGCAGACCTGAGCCAGGTCGAGCACTCATGTTGCCACGGGGGCCCCACACTTGGTACATGAAGATGACTTTGGTCAGTTACAAACTCTGTCCAGCTGACTTACCTGTCTACGAATTCAGACAGAAAATTCTGGCATGTGCATGCGCGTGTGCACATACACACACACACACACACACACACACACACAGGCACGCATGCACGCACTCACGCATGTAGGCACCCACCCACGCACGCACACATACCAGCTTCAGCAACATCATTTCAATCAAATCTCCATAGCACGGGGCTCTGTTTCATATGAAAACAAGTGAAATGGGAATTCACCTGACATTATCGCACTTGCTTTTAACGTTTTCTTGCTAACTTAGCGCCTCTTTTCTCCTACCTCCTCTTACTTCTCTCTGTCCTGGATGGCTTCTTTACGCTTCAGTGACCTGAAAAGCATTGAAAGGTGTCTCCCTTGTGACCAGGTAAAAGCTCACTCGGGGCCACCAGCAACCAGACAGGATCCCAAAGGGCACCCTTTCTCATTCCATTCCTCCCTTCTGTCTTTCTGTCCTGGCGTCTTGCTCGAGAGGCTCAATTCTTGCACAACAACTGATCTTTTTCCTGTTAGAAGACAGAAAGGCCGTTATTAATTCGTCCTCACGTTAATATACTTCATTTCCTTTCATCTTTATTACCCATCTATATCTTCCTCAGAGGTCTTGTTTACATAAAACAGAACTCTTGGATGCAGAAAGAATTTAATGAGTCTTAGCATAACCACTACAGAGTGAACACCCTGCACTCACCCTTTATAATTAGGAATCATTTGACTGTATTTAAAAACGTCTTCAGCAAGTGGTGCCAAGCAGCTTCTTTCGACATTTTTTTTTTCTTTTTTCTTAGTACCAGAAAGATCAGCTATTACCAAATTATGAGCTTGGTCCATAACATTCTGGCACTAACTCTAATAGAAGGAGCATAATATCTCAAACTGGTTACAGAGTGTGGCTTAAACCTTTTGGCTCTCCCTACCCTTTCCTTCCTTCCCTTCCTCCCTTCTTCCCTCCCTCCCTCCCTCCTTCCCTCCCTCCCTCCCTCCCTTCCTGTCTCCCTCCCTCCCTTCCTCCCTCCCTCCCTTCCTTGTCAAGCTTGGACATGCAGGTAAAGCATTACACAGTTAAAGGAGACTCCAGGGACATCAAGTCTCTCAAAGCCACTCACGTCCAATTTGCTCTGAAGGACATCTCTTACAGGCCGGCCTGAGAGGCTGAGCTGTCGCCCAATGAGTTTTTAATTCAGGTCATACCATTTCAGGTGATCCCATTTCAACAACCAGTTTGAGGACCTGGCATTGTTGACAAAAAACAAGGGTGGGAAGCATAAATTCTGTTTCGTGAGATGAGAAAGACCGTGAGTTCAGGGAATGTATCATCTGTGTCTGAAGCATGACTAGGAGTTTGCTAGGGAGGTAGAGAGGAAGGACAGGGCAGACGGAAGTTCCATGAAAGCAGAGACAAAGCAGCATGGCCGTCCCCGGGGATATAGTAGAGGCCACCGCAGCCTGGCAGAATTGGTTTAAGGGAGATTTGACTGGATTGAAGACGAACAATGCTGAGTGAGTGAAGGGTCTTACACACACACGATTAATAAAGTGATGGGTTTCATGGAGGTTATCTCCCTCAGTGTTTGGGAGTCCTAAGTACAGTCCACAAGGAAGTTCACTTTTCAAAGTGTTTTCCCTAAGCAGGACACTGAGCTAGGTGTCAGAATGGAACACAAAAATGTAGCTTACAGTCCATGTGGGAAGACAGAGGTTCATGACTCACCGCATGTGAAGACAATGTGAGACAGGGGAGGAATGCAACATGGATAAACCAGGCAGACAGGACAGAGCAATTAATACCATCTGCAAAACCTCCGAGACAGGTTGGCTGGTAGAAAATCTATGTTCAGGGGCCGGGAAGAGTGCTCAGTGGTTAGGACCACAGACTGCTCTCACAGAGGACTCAAAGTCAACTCCCAGCATCTACATGAGGTGGCTCACAGCCACCTGTGACATCATCACCAGATGCTTCTGTCCTCCCTGGGTGCCTGCATTCATAAAATTAAACATAAAAATAAAGCTTTAAACAACAGAAAGAGAAAGGTGAGAGCCCAGGGGGTACAGGATGCCAGCTTTTGCTTCCTGGCTTCCATGGTGTGAGCGTCTTCTCTCTCTCTCTCTCTCTCTCTCTCTCTCTCTCTCTCTCTCTCTCTCTCTCTCTCTCTCTCTCTCTCTCTCTCTCTCTCTCTCTCTCTCTCTCTCTCTCTCTCTCTCTCTCTCTCTCTCTCTCTCTCTCTCTCTCTCTCTCTCTCTCTCTCTCTCTCTCTCCCTCTCTCTCTCTCCTCTCTCTCTCTCTCTCTCTCTCTCTCTCTCTCTCTCTCTCCCTCTCTCTCTCTCTCTCCCTCTCTCTCTCTCTCTCCCTCTCTCTCTCCCCTCTCTCTCTCTCTCTCTCTCTCTCTCTCTCTCCTCCTCTCTCTCTCTCCTCTCTCTCCTCTCTCCCTCTCCCTCTCTCCCCTCTCTCTCCTCTCTCTCTGTCTGTCTCTCTGTCTGTCTCTCTCCTCTCTCTCCTCTCTCTCTCTCTCTCTCTCTCTCTCTCTCTCTCTCTCTCTCCCCCTCCTCTCTCTCCTCTCTCCCCCTCTCTCTCTCTCTCTCTCTCTCTCTCTCTCCTCTCTCCCCCTCTCTCCCCCTCTCTCTCTCTCTCTCTCTCTCTCTCTCTCTCTCTCTCCTCTCTCCCCTTTCTCTCCTCTCTCTCTCCTCTCTCTCTCCTCTCTCTCTCTCCCTCTCTCTCTCTCTCTCTCCTCTCCCCCTCTCTCTCCTTTCTCTCTCCCCCCTCTCTCTCTCCTCTCTCTCTCTCTCTCTCTCTCTCTCTCTCTCTCTCTCTCTCTCTCTCTCTCTCTCTCTCTCTCTCTCTCTCTCTCTCTCTCTCCCCATTCTCCCACCATGATGGGCTGAGCCGTCTGAGACCGTGAGCCAAGTGAAATAACTTCCCTTTTAAACTGTTCCTCTCCTGTACTGAGTCCCAGGGATGAGAAAGCCAAGTGTCCCAGAGGAATATCATAAAACAACGACAAGCACACGCAAGGTGAAAGGAATGACCAAACAAGGTAAACAGGACTTTATGTGGAGGAAAAGAGTTTGTCTTTGAAATAGAACACGGTGGTAGAAAACATGAGGTGAGTTTACAGGAGGCTGTGGACCTCAAACTAAAAACCCTAGGCTCTGTCCAGGAGAAAATGGATTATTTTAAAACTTATTTACTTATGTATTTATTTAGGTATGAGTGTTCTGGTTGCAGGTAGGCAGTTTCCTAAAAGATGCCATCAGATCTCATTTTAGATGGTTGTGAGCCACCATGTGCTTGCTGGGAATTGTGCTTAGAACCTCTGGAAGAGCAGCCAGTGAGTGCTCTTAACTACTGAGCCATCTCTCCAGCCATGAATTATTTTAATACTCCATTAGCTAAATTATAGATTAATAAAATATTACTTAGAGCTAGGTATGCTAACTCAGTTCTGTAATCAATCATAGGGAGGCTGAGGCCAAAGAACTCTTTCAATTTTGAAGTCAATCTCTTCTATGTGGGTATTTCCAGGCCAATCTGGACTACAGAGTAAGACCTTATGGAAAGTAAACAAACAGAACAACAGAAAATTCTACAGAGAGATGTTTCATCAAAGTACAGTCTAAGGAACAAGGACAGATGTATTCTGGACTTGGTGGGAGAATGTAGAGGCTCATTTATTCATTTGTTGGCCTACTATCCCTAGCCTCAAGGAACACAGCTTCTTTTTGAGTGGCAGAGAGATCCTGGGAAAACAATGGGTTAATTGTCCCTGGGTATGTCTCTTTTTTATTCACATCACTGAGCTCCCAGGAGGGTGGAGAAGCATTCATCAGAGACTTTTATAAGAAAATAATCCTACCCTAATCAACTCAATACCAGGACCAAGGTGCCATTAGTTAATGATGCTGGCCAAGTCCTTTGAAGTTCAAACGAACAATAAACACACTACAAATTGTTAGTAGCCAAATGAAGGAGAGACATCTCTGCAACACTCACACAAAAGGTCTGAGGACTCCTTGGTGGCTGTCCCCACACCTTCTCATTTACTGTGAATCCTTGGGACACTGTCCCGGGAAGCTCAACTTTCTTGAGTCTTGGACGAGCTGGGACGAGCTGGGGTTCGATTGCCTTTCGGAGACTCCACAAGAGTCTAGAGCATAGGTAAAGGTAGGAAGCCCTGCTCATCTTCACTGCCTCCATGTCCTCTGTGGTCCTCTCCTTCCTCTCCCTCTCCAGCACACATCTTGTCTCATCCAGACCACACCCATCTCTTCCCCTCTTCCTGAGCATGGAGCTGACCTCCCCCAGGCCCTACTTGCAGGCTGGATCTGTGATACACAGAGGAGCCACATGGTCACTGCTACACAGGGGGACCTTTGGTTACCAAGATCCATCCCCCTTCTTGGCAGCAGAAATCATAGCTCACATTTTCCCCCATGTTTAAACTAAAAGCTACAGATGCGATACCTCCTGAGAACAGAATCAGAGCATTTTACGTCTCACTGGTTGCATAAGGAGTAAGGTGCCATTGCATTCTGAATGTTTATCAGAGGGGCTGCAATGTCCTTTCCATTGCATTCTGAATGTTTACCTGAGGGGTTGCCATGTCCTTTCCATTGCATTCTGAATGTTTACCTGAGGGGCTGCCACACCCTTTCCAGAAAGGTACTGTGAACCCCGGTGACCACCTAGTTCAGCTCTGTCTCCATCTGCAGTGTCCTCCCCCATCCAGCTGGCTTCATGCTTCCTCCACTAGATAAAATCTCATCTAGGAGATACTGTGCCCTGACATCAGGTACTCTCTCCTCTCTGCGTGTCTGGCTCCTTAGTTAACATACATTAATCTGTTTGCTAACTAGTTGTGTGTTTACTAACCTATGCTTTACAGTATTTTCACAGGAGAGTGTGAACTTGAACACAATTGAGAAAAAAATAGTTTTCTTTTTTTTAAATTTTTTTATGTGCATTGAGTTGAAGGTGTCAGAGCCCCTGGAACTGGAGTTACAGACAGTTGTGAGCTGCCATGTGGGTGCTGGGAATTGAACCTGGGTTCTCTGGAAGAACAGTCAGTGCTCTTAACTGCTGAGCCATCTCTCCAGCCCCAAAAAAATGTTTTTCTATTCTACGGGAAAAGCCTTGATATTGAAAGTGGTGGCGCACACCTTTAATCCCAGCACTTGGGAGGCAGAGGCAAGTGGATCTCTATAAGTTTGAGGTCTACCTGGTCTACAGAGCGAGTTCCTGGACAGGCAAGACTATTACACAGAGAAACCCTGTCTCAAAAAAAAGTCTCACCCAAACTATATCATTGTGAGTGTTTTCATGACTGACACTAGTTTATTAACTCTTAAATTCTCATAACAAATAGAATGGACCCCACTTGAAGATGAGGAAACTGAGTCCCAGAGAAGGTAAGAAATTCATTCAGTGTGATAAATATAAATGTTTGAGCTGGGATTCGAGCACAAGAAGACTGGAAAGAAGACCTGTGTTCTCATCATACACCCTTTCCAAAGTGATCATGCATTTGTCTCGTCAGGCTGGGTTGTATAGGGACAGGCAGGTTGTGACTATATTCTAGTGCCTAGAACAGCATGAGTAGTATAGCACTCCATGAACACTAGCACAATGAATGACATTTATGGGTACTTGCACAAGCTAAGTCAAAGACCATTAACTTTGCATGAATGGACCAAAGAGTTCAATCCTAGTCTCTGTTAAAGAAGAAAATGAAAACAAAAAGAAACAGAAAGAACTGTGATACCAGTTGTTAGTAGCAGAGCCAGGACTAGACTCCACATCTCTAGTCTAGCTGACCAACAAATGATTTAAAATTAATATGAGATTAAAAGCCATAACGGATTTTGGGTATTTGTAATCTCAGTACCTGGGAGGATGAAGGAGGAGGATTTGAGTTCAAGACCTTAACTCTGACCTATACAGTAAAACCCTTGACTCAAAAAGAAAGACTCAGGAAAGGGAAAAGGGATTAGAGTAACAGACACTTACATCCCTCCACTTTTATGCGAAGCTATTTCTAGCCACAAGATGTTGGTGATTGGAGGAATAGGAAACTGCCCTGGTCCCAGTGAGCTGGAAGGGGAACCTAGGTATTCCTTTGCCTCCAAAATATCTTTAGTGTCACAGTCAGCAAACCACCAAGTATTTCCTAGCCAACATCATCATCGTTAATATGGTCTAGTTCTCCCAACGTCTCCTTCTCCTCCCTCCAGCTTCCGCCGGCACACAGCAGGGTACTCGGTGGCTGTTGACAGCAAGCACAGGACCCCTGCATGCTCAAGCTAGATCTAATGCCAGCATGGAGAATGGTGGTGAGTAGACAGTTTCATCCAAGCTGAGGAGTTAGAGGCAGTTAATAGCTGCTGGGAGGGACAGAGTCAGCCTTCTGCAAGAGTGTTGCCTTTGGCGTGCTAAGCTTGCACTAATGGAAAGTCAAACATCCAAGAACACATGGATAGAAAAAATAGGGCTTGGTAGCATTAAAAAAGAGAAGGGAGACACAAAGTTGGGTGGGTTAGTATGGTGGTCTGAATGCTAATGGTCCCCAACGGCTCTTATTTTTGAATACATGGTCCCCAGTTAATGGAACCATTTGGGCAGGATTAGGACATATGGCCTTGTTGGAGGAGCTGTGTCACTGGCAGTGGCCTTTGAGATCTCAAAAGGCCACACTATTCCCAGTTAGCTCTCCACCTGTGCGTGTTGTCTCAAGATATGAGATCTCAGCTACTGCCCCAGAACCAAGTCTGCCTTCCTGCTGCCGTGCACCTTGCCATGATGGTTAAGAGCTCACCCTCTGAAACTGTAAGCCCCAAGTAAACTCCTCCTTCCATGAGCTGCTTTCAATGTAGTGTCTTATCACAGCCACAAAACAGCAAGTAAGACATTTTGGAGAAAGGGGATGGATTCGCACGAAGTTGGGGAGGAGGTGAATATAGTGGAAACATTTTGTATGAAATTAAAAGAATCCATCTTACAGAGGAAGAAGAGGGAGGCAAGAAGAGGAGGAGGACGAGAAGAGGGGAGGAGGAAGAGGAGGAGAAGGAAAATCAAATTCAAATAGTGACCCCACAGTCTTCAAGAGCATCTTAGTGGCAAGCTGACTGTACAAAAATGCACACGGTTTACGATGAACCAACTTAGAGATTAACAGTGTGGGACGCAAATGTCTGTTGTTCTAAGTCACTGAGAGTGCAACTTTGTCTATGACTCAACACACCCTTACCCAGCCTCTCACTGTGATGGGGGTCCTCGAGTTCAAGACATCACAGCAGTGTTCTCATGGGTGCTCCACACCCCCTCTCTTCCCCTTCATACAGCACAGAACCCAATCATACGACCCTCTTGTTGCTGTGTTCCAAACTGCATGGGTAGCGGAAGGAAGCAGTCAGATGGTAGCCACCTTGTTCATGTTTCAAACTACAGCAGCTTTTACAGAAGTTATAGACAAACTCACAGGGACCTGGGTGAAATGATGCCAGAAACAATGAGGAACCAAAAGAGAGAAATTAAAAACTCAAAAGATGTTCACAATTATGATCATTTCCTATGGGCTAATTGGTCCTCCACCCATCACGTACTGGATCTAAAACAAAAATACCATAAAAGTAAATTATCCTCTCAGATTACAGAAGAAAAACATTGAACTTGAGAGTGCCTGAGCTACTTCCCAAGACCCCACTGTCTTATAAATGGTAGGGCAATTTGAATATAAATATGTCTGCCCCAGAGCCTGGCTCTTCACCCCCATCTCCGTGAAAGAAATGAGCTATTTTCTGAGCTGCCTCAGAGAAAGGACGTCTAATTCCTGAGTCACCATTCTCATATGCCAACCTTACCACTAATTTGTTGGGCGTCACCTCAGCAAGATGCCTGTAGGTATTTTTTTTACTTGAAAACTGAGAGATTCTGCCAGTTACCACCCAGTACCCCATGAGCTAGAGTGAAGGGAGGTATGTAACACTTGAGAAGAAAGACTGAAAAGTGTTATAAATAGCATGATTACAAGCAGCCATAATTCAGATAGAGAATGTCGTGTGCAAGTTCAAACATAAGCTGGAATTAAGCCTCATAAATATAAAAGAATGGAAGGCATACAGCTCTTTGCATTTTAACAATAACTATGTAATCTAATCTTAGGTTAGCCAGGCATCCCAATAGCATCCTCAGAAAGACAGCCTGAGAGGCAGAGGTACATCCTCACCACCACCAACGTTTTGAGTATGTGGCTAACCTGAGACACAGCTGTAATAACTGTTAGGACAAATTATAGTAGTAAGAGTTGACAGTTTGTACCACGTGTATGACTTCCAAGCTCTTTATGTTAAGGCACTCTTTATAACAATCCTAGGGAAGCACGTTCTTTTAATGGTAACTAAGTGACAGTTACTGAGTCACAAAGCCATAAATGGCAACACTAGAATAAAAAACTAGGCAATCTCAACTGGGCAAGGTGGAGTACACCTGCAATTCTAATGCTGCTGTGCTTAAGGAAAAAAGATAGTAAGTTCAAGGCTGACCTGAGCTACTTCATGAGTTCAAACCAGGCTGGGCTAATGTAAGCATTTCTCTTAAAAACCAAAACCAAAAAAATCACAGAATAAAACAGGAATCTAGGTACTTCCAGAAAGTATTGCTACATATGTGTGAGAGCTGAAAAATCTGTTTTCTTCTTCCATTGGTTTGTTCCTTCATTCTTCCATTTTTGTGTTTGTACCATTTTATTGTTTTAAGTCTCTGGATCATTACCCAGAAGTTCAGCTGCAGGTTCATGAATATCACAGTAAATAACATCAAAACCACCACATGCACACAGTCTCTTTTTTCTCGTCAAATGTGCCCCTCCAGACAAGAATTTTAAGCAGGTTTTACATCAAGCTAACCCAAGCAGGAAGCATTTTGCCCAGATACACAGTAAACCAAGTTCTTTGTTTTCAGTGATAACAAGGTGAGTTCTTTGTAATCTCACACACTTCTGTCCTCCACCAAATCTCATTTCATTTCTCTCACCTGAAAACTGCCCCATATTGATGTCTTCTAGATAACTTTGTGAATGCAATATTGTATCAAGGTATTTGGGGATTGACTCTGAGAAATAAGGTAGGAAAGTCCATGCGCAGTGCCCAGGACCAACCTGTGTATTCAGGGCCGCCCTAGCCAGCTAAACTATGTTGCATGCACAGCACGTGGGGTGGGGGGTGGTCTCAGCACTGCAGTGGGTCCTAATGCCAGTCCTGGTGTGGGCACTTCTCAGGTACACCACCCTAAGAAATGATTAGTCACATATCACTCTGAGAAAGAGTGGTAGCTATGAACCCAAATCATTAAATATCTATATGTTTTATGTATGTACACATCCCTTTAAAATCATCTCTAGATTATGTGTGATACCTAATACAATGTAAATGTTTTATCAGTTATTATTATACTCTACTTTCTAGAGGATAATAACAAAACATCTATACATATTTGTAAACATGCAGGTTTCCCCCAAAATATTTCTAATCTGTAGTTGGATGTATTCTCAGATAAGCGATTCAGACAGGGCCAACCGCCTTTCCAAAGGACATATGATTGTATACAGAGAGAAGCCAAAGAAATTCACTTAAAGGCTACTTACTTTCACAATCTTGTGTCTTTCCATAACATTCCCATGGGTCAGCAATAACCAATTATATCATTTAATTAAGTTTTTCTTAAATAACTCCAAAAGTGGAAACAGAGTTAGCAAGAGAAGTGTGTTACTGAGACCAGTGGTTCTCAACCCCACCGGGGTGGCATACCAGATGTCCGGCATATCAGATGTTTACATTATGATTCATAACAGTAGCAAAATTAAAGTTATGAAGTAGCAAGAAAATAATTTTATGGGTGGGGGGTCACCATAACAAGAGGAACTGCACTAAAGGGACCACTGTCTTAGCCATCGAAAGATGACGTGTTAGTTTGGTAGGAAAAATATTTCTTCCCCTAAATAAAATTTTTAGATATATAAATGATATCTGATCCTTCACCAAAATAAACTACACCTTAAATATAAAGCTAATCAAACACCCAGCAAGAGTCATTCTAAGGTCCAACAAAATTAAAACACAACTCATCTGAGGAATCAGGTGGGTTAAACTGTATGCAATATTTTGAAAGAGACTATTTGAAAGGAGGCAGCGTCTGTTGGGGAAAAAATGTAGACGGCTGAAAACTCGGCGCAGTGCCAAGTCACATTCATTCGGTGGCACATGCCTGTGACTTGATACCTGAGAGGCTGAGGCAGTAAGATCACAAGTCCAGAGCTAGCCTGGGCTATGGAGTGAGAATTTCATTTAAAGAAAAAAAAAAAGACATACACGCTATCCAAACAATACAGAAACTTTGTTGTGTATGGATTTGATATTTGATAGGGAAATAAAAATATTTTTACAAATCGTGTTCCATGATCTGGGTAGAAATCAGGCAGTGGGTGGGGGGGATGAACTTCAGTCTCCATCTTACCCAAAACTCAAACAAGTTCCAAGTCTGTTCAGATTGAAGGAAGAAGACAAAAGGGTGGGGGTTGAGTGGGGGAAACTAGCGCAGTGGAGGATCTGATATCTCATCAAGAGGGACTGACAACGTCATGGGCTGGAGAAGGAAAATAAAGTCACCCTACAGAATGGCAGCTTCCTTTTAAAGAATAAACTAGAAACAGGAAAATGAAGAGGGAAGTAGGATGAAATCGACAGACTGTGCCATATCTAGAATATGAAAACCCAGTTGTAATCAGTTTTTGAATGATACTGAAGTAATACTAAGATGTAAGAAGAGTAAAGAAATATTCAGACCTTAAAATGTGATTAGGCAAAGGAAAAACAAAAAAGTATACACAATCCAAACAAAAAGAGAGGCACACTTACAGACACCTGCTTTTGGACAAAGAGGCCAACGACACACACCGGAGAAAGGACAGCACCTTTAACAAGTGGTGCTGTGTAGATGAACAGTTTCTGTCCCGCCAGCCTGGTCCTGCAGGAAGAATCCAAATAGAGCCATGTCACCCTCTAAGACTCAAATCCCAGCGTGGAGGAGGGGAAGTGGGCACCAAATCCCACCCCTACCCACGAGGCCATTCACAAATGGGTGAGGGACAATCAGCTGGGTTAGATCAAGCCCACCACAGAGTAGGCCTGTGTTCAGTATTAGCTGGCCAATACGAATCAGCCTCTGTGTCTGTGGGGGGAGGGGGAGCTGTTCCCTGTTGCTTTTGTTTTTGTTTCAAGATAAAGAAAGAACATGAAGTTGGCTGGCAGGAAGTGAGGCGGATCTGACAGGAGTTGGGGACCAGAATGAATATAAAACTGTATCATGTGAAATATTCAGGGAATAATATTTTTAAAATAAACACAATAAATAAGCCCATGGAAAATATTACTATCATTACATATGAAGCAAAGATATACAAGCCGCAATCACAAAACGCTGTAATTTTCTAACTGTAAAATTCACATTCATTTTCAACAAAAGTGCTAGGTATTGGTGAAGTTATAAGGAAGCTGATACATATTGTTTCCAGTAGCTGTATGGAGGAAGGCAAACACCTTAAGCCATAAAAATGCAGTCCACCTTGGGTCTTTGTTTTTGTAGCATTAGGGATTGAACCAAGGCCTAACTCATGCTAGGCAAGTGGGTTACCTTCTAGGCCCGCTTTCTACCTTCTGTTTTGAGCTGGGATTTCACCGACTTACTCAAGCTAGTGTTAAGCACAATCAGGAACCTGGGCTTAGCCTGAACTTGCAATCCTCCTGCCTCAGCCTCTGAATTAACGGCATTAGAGGCCTGAGCCACCGCCCCTAGCTTTCACCTTGTATTTTAAAAATCTTTGAAGACGTGTGCCACCAACACTCCAAAGCAATACAGAGAAAACCTGTCAGGAAAAAACAAAAACAAACAAAAAACAAAAACAATCTTTGAAGAAAGTATATGAGGACAGTAGGCACAAAGGTGTTTACAGCCATGCTACTGTTTTTAGTAACGACTTGAGCAACTGTGCAAATGTCTCCATACGTGCTTCCTCTCGGAAGGTTTGCTCGGCTCCCCAAGTACTGCTTCCTCCCCTGCAGGCCATTCGGTGTCACTGTCCATCACTGGCAGGTCCTTAGCCTTAGGCCAAATCGTAAGAAGAGTCTTAGGAATTATATCTTAAATGGATGAATGAATCAAACAAATCCATGTTAAACAGTAGCAGATGTAAACCGGCTCTTAAAGAAAATATAAACCCATTAACTCACTAATTCTGAAAACTTTGTTGCAACTTGGAAAATGCTCCAGGACAGCCGAACACAATGGGAAAAACGGGTCATGACAGCACGTGCATCATGACTGCAGCTAGGTCATAAGCTGTAGGCACACGGACAAACCCGGAAATGTATGTGTGTGGAATATTCTTGTTGTTGCTGTGGCAGTCATGGCATTGTGAACATTTGGAACTTTTCCCATCTTTTAAAAAGCATCTTGGTCAATCTCCTTTTATAATTTCCAAAAAGACGTGGGGAAATCTTCATGGGCTTCTAAGGTAGAGCACTTGGGTACCTGTTCAGGCTCTGCTGTTCACCAGCTTGTGACCTCTTACCAATGGCTAGAGCTCTTTGAACCTCAGTCTCCTCATCTATTAAATGGCAAAGATAATAGCTACCTCGCAGAGCTGTTGTGAGGGCTGTATGACCTCATGCATGTGAAAGGATTTTATAAACTATAAAGTTCTCTATTAACGTAGGACACCATTATGACTAAAACAAGTTTTGTTTCCTAAGCAAAATAACCCTTTTCATTTCCTCCAAATTGTTGTATCTAGTTATGTCCATGCAATGCAAAAATAAGTGCAAAATCATTGGAACACCAAACTCACTGTGCGTCCTATGATAATGCTACCCAAGCCTGTTGCACAGCTCTCCGAGAAAAGGTGGTTTCACAGTAGGTAAGTAGAAGGGACCTCTGAGACGCTAGGAATGATGGGGAGAGAACCCAAGGATAGTCACAGTAAATCTGTCACTAGGAATGATGGGGAGAGAACCCAAGGATAGTCACAGTAAATCTGTCACTAGCACTAACATGTTAATGATTTAATTTTCAAAACTGAAAAACTATGGAAGGAGAAAGAAGGGAAACAGTTCCTGTCATTCCCCCTTAGCCACACGGTCCTCTCCCTCACACAGCTACTAGTGGTTCAGTGTTTGTCCCTCCAGGAGGATTTATGCATATGTAAACACATATGATTTTTAAATCTTTTAAATACGTTACTCAATACACCTTGGTACTACTCTTTCTTTTACATCTGTATCTCACCTGTCGATTAGATATACCTTTACTTATAAAATATGTTCATCAATTCCCTTCCAATGAAGGAGCCTCCAGGTTCTTTGCCATTGTTTTCTGTGCCCTCCGAGAGGGAGTTCCTTCTGCCTTGAGTCACAACGAAGAAATGGTGCGTTTCGAGCACAACCCAGCTTTCAGATCCCAACACGTGCTTCTCTGATCAACGAGATATGCTTTGAAATCCTTTCTGTCATTTTCTGCACTTTAGTTCAAAACCACACGGCTCAGCAGACCTAACTCAGGCAGCCATCTTCTTAAACTTTGGTATAATTTTGTGGTTAAGACTCTAAGACCACACTGCCTGGATCTAAGAGCTGCCTCTTCCCACTTACTTTTCAAATCCTCTCCTCCTCAGAACGGGCATGGTGATAGTACCCGCCTCACAGGTTTTATAAGACTTAGTGGTTAGACCCCAACACAGTGACTCTCAGGCCCAGAGTCTTCCAGAGGGTACTTG